ATAGCTGATGCAGAGAGGATCAGTGATTCATATGCATATCTAAGTCTTATACCTACCTAATGTTTCTACTCTATAGATCATATAGATTCTGATTATGAGCAAACACGTTTTAACGAAGTAGTTAACTCCCTCTGATTTATATTTTATGGGTTATAAAAATCCACAAAAATAAATATTCCGATCTCTGCTTCTCTGCTACTTAAAATACAGTACTCTATTGTACACTTGCTTTACTCATGCCTGAAATAAGTTTAGTTACCTAAGCTACAGTTTTTATAAGAATTTCTAAATATTTCACTTGCCCAGGCACTGGCTTCAAATTTTATATTCTAGACTCTATAATTATGTCACACTAATATAGACTTTTCGCTATGTGAGCGAGTATTCAAATCTGAAAGCTTATCAGCCGAGCACTTATATTTCAGATTTACGTTACAATTCTTAAGGCAGATGAACGGACATGGGTAAACAGAATATATACTCCATATGAGATTCAACTGAAAACCGCTGTACTCTAAAAATATTCCAGAATGAGTATAAATTAGCTAAGCACTGAATATAATAGAGCACCTAATGGATCAGATAAAAGCTAAGACGAATTAATTGCTAATTGTGAAATGCAATTCATCAGAATTCAATATACTCGATTGACTGTCTGAGCGAGTGTCGTCTATTTTGAATTGCCTGTTCATTCAGATATTTGTTGATAGCAAAAGCAGATGACTTTGCAAAACTTTGTATACAACATCCTGAATATAAACTTATCAGACTAATTGATAAGGCTAATCGGTCTCGTTACAATATGCTCTCGATGCTGTTGTTGTTGTTGTTGTTGTTGTTGTATTGGTAATGCATGTTGCAATAAATTGGCTAATCAAATTGATTGCGGTAATCAATAAAATGATTCGAACTAAAACTATAGTCCCACAAAAGTTTGCCGACAAGGGAACTAATATAAATATTATTTAAGAATTTACACTTTATGGAAGGCCAGACGACTGTATTCATATGCATGTATGTATGTGTATGTATGTATATGGCTGTCAAAAATTCGCTGACTTAACCATTTGTTCAAATAAACAATGCAAATGAATTAGCCAACTCTGTTTTTTCCGATATCGTTTTGCAGCCGGATTAGAACTTTCACTTGAAAGTCGGCTGAGAGCGTCTGAGAGCACAAAGCACAGAAATGTCAAAGTATCTAGGCGACATTTATCTCTTTCTACATCTGTATACATATATACACGCATTGATTTCTACGTATATATCCACAAAACACCGTTTACGCACTTGAATATCGGCGATATAGAAAACTCTTCTCTTACAGCTCGAATCGAGAACTCGAAGCATGTTCGTGCACGCACAACTTACCAATCGCAAGCTTAAACTGTGCTCGGCGACACGCGACTCTCAAGATACTGAGGCGCCGTACAACAGTGCCCCAACACTTTATATGTAACGAGCCAGAGTGCTGTGGGCGGGTGTGCCCGACTAACAAATGCCCTAGCCCACAGCATTCTAGCACGGCCACGCAGAATCAGACAAATACCACAGACATTCCGCATAATCGCATACACATACCTATTATCTGATCTAAATGGCATTTCAGCACCTAGCATCAACATGAGTAAGCACATAATGTCACTGGAGCTTTTTATAGATTATAGAGTCGAAATGATGAGTCCATCTTCGATTTGGGTAATCATAGAGTACTTAGTATATATATTTCAAATTTCTTAATTCCAAGTCTTAATATATGTATATGAAATCAAGTATATCTTGTCGATGCCGATTTTAATCGATTGTTAAAGCAAACTGATATCGATAAAAATTCGATATTACTTCGTGCAGTGATCCCCAAGACCTTGCGCCTCCCTCTGGCCGTTACATACTTTCTGATAAAAACAATATACCTTTTTTATATAAAAGTCATGGGCTTAGGGTACATTGAAGCTCATTGTGATATTGGAGTGATCGACGCTCGGCAAGTGCTCGATCGTGCATCGATTGTAGCAGCTTTTGTTGTTGTAACTGACTCGAGTCGAGTTGGGTTTCGCGTATCGACATAGTACTTCGTTTTCTATAAATAATAACAATTCAGAAATATACCTTTTCTATAACCATATGTGCACAACAGTGCCATATAATTTTATAATGGATTAATTAGTTGATTGCCTCTTGTTGGGTTTCGAATCAATTGAATATCGTATATTTAAATTGTAAATAGATTTCCATAAATATTTATATTAGTCAAAAACCAGAATTATTAAATAATTTAGTATATGCTAAGGCAAAGTCAAGCATGAGCTTTATTCACTTGAACTGCAATTAAAGACAGTTTTTCATTTCTATTCCATTCGTTTTTAGGTCGAATCATATCACAGTTTACAAACTGATTGAAATTCTTGTTAGAAGTCAAAACGAACTACCCAAGAGTTGGGTAATTTCTGGTATAACTTATAGGGTATATATTCCTGTTGCGCAGCTCATTGTAGCTTATTCTGGCCCGCAAGACGATTCTTTTCTAAGATTAAGGCACGGCTGTAAGCACAAATAAATTGGAGTTCAATAAGAATTTGCTGAGTCAACTTTTTGGCGATTCTCAAGTCATCAAACACTTACCGATAGCGCTCGTAGTAGCCAACGATTGTGCCGAGCTCTTGCTTGAAGAGTCGCACCAGCATGCTGTCGAAGCCCTCGAGCTCGGGCAGGCTGAACATATTGAACTGCAGCAAGTGATCCTTCGAGGAGTCCGCCTCTGAGTACACGGCCAACCATTTGGGTATCTCTTCGAGCAAATAGGGATTAGCTGGCACCAAGGCGTTATGAGTATGAGCAGGCGGGGAATACAACGGCGCCTCGGGCCGTATTGCCTTGGGCGGCTCAGCGGACGTGGTATAAACGTAATAGGACGTTAAGCATGGATGCTGCCTTTGGCACTGGCCGGTATACTGATTTTCGTAGTAGGTGCCATGCAGCTTGGAGACAACGCGACGCCATCCGACTGGCAAGCCCTCGCGCTCCAGCGGATGATTCCAGTGCGTGGTGTGCGCATTGTGATCAATATAGTATTTCCGACCGTGCAATGTGTACTGCGTAGCCCAGCCGGGCGGCAATGGCAGCTCTTCGCTTTCAGTCAACGACTGCTGTGAGGACACCTTTTGCAGGGCGCCGTTGCTATTGCTATCGGCAGCAGTGCCGGCAGTGGAGTTGCTAGCCGCAGGCGGCGTCAGAGGGGGCGCGTAGAGCGACTGCACGGAGCTGGAGGCGATCGGAGTGCTGCCAGAGCTTCGGCCGCGACCACTCACGCTCATCGATGCGCTTAGGGGCAGTGGTAAGTGATGGTGAAATTGTTGATGATGCACGTTCTGATGTGGATGGTGCTGATGATGTTGATGTGGATGCGTAGCGGATGATGCGGTCGTATTGCTATATATAGGAGATTCGGAGCGCTGCGACTGCGACTGCGTTACACGCATTGAAGAAACCCGATAGGGATTCTCGTATATGGGATATGAATCACTTGAATAGCTGCCTATCATATGCCCACCCAAGTGCTGCTGCTGTCCAAGTGGCGCTCTGTAAAAGTGTAAGCAAAATTGCATTAAATAAAAGCTAATTCCACATATATGTAGTAAATACCTCATGAGTGACGCATGCTGCTGCATGGGCTGATGAAGCAGCTGAGTTGGCTGTGGCATAGCAAATTGGGCTGGCCTTTGTAGCATATTAGCAAACGAGGCGCTTAGTAAGTTCTGATCGAGATCATAGCTCGGAGCACCAACTGGTTGTGTTTGTTTCTGCGTTGAATAACTACGTTGGAATCCTCTCGTGGGCGTCTGGAGCAGCGGGGAGGATTGCTGACGTCGCATACGCTCCATTTGCTCAATATTAACATAGTTGCTCTGCTGAAACTGAGTATTGGACGTTGTCGGTGGCTGCAGCGTTTGCTGATTATTATTGGTATTCAAGGGCATCTGACTTTGAGCCCGTCGCGCATGATAATAGTCCGGCTGAACATCGCTGCACGAATATGTATTGCGACTAGAGCTGGAGCTGCGCGGCTTGAATTCACAGCTAGGCGATGTGCTCGCACAGCGTTGCAGTGATTTCTTTTTGGCACGTTGATTTTGTTGGTCTGGGTAGGAGGTCCATACATTTATTACCGGTATTTCGGGCGGCGTGTCCTTCTTAACATATTTTCCCACAACGCCTTCTTTATGTGCCTGCGATTTGTCTTTGCTTCGGCGCGAAAGCATCGTCGGTTTACGATTACACAGCAAAATTGTTAAATAGTTCATGCAACGCCGACGTCGTGAATTAACTTAATTATACATATATGTATTTTTTCGTTTTCTTTCTTCTTATTTTACTGTTCACTTAACGAACTACTAATTTATGCCTAACAAAAGTATTTTGGTTCATTCGATCAGTCGATGCGCTCACATGAACGAACAGCTTAGTTCAGTTCAGTTAGTTCGACTACAAATCCTTTTGATTAAATTTACTTATTCAATAAGTAAACTTTGTACTTGAATAAATTGGACACAGCTGAGGCAACATATTGATTATATAATGTAAATTCAATTAATATATTAAATTCAAGCTAACGAATATCAATTGCTTTGCTTTTAGATTTGAAATCTTCTGATTGGTTCAAAAGCATTTTAACAGAACCCCAAATGTTAATGTTATTCTTTGTTCCTAAATTTGCTTATCGATGAATCGAAATTCGTTACGTTACTCAATGCCCAATAAATGAGATTGACGTATTCCAATAGCATACTTTATAAATAATAGAAAAAACTAAGAAAATATATATGCAAGATCACTTTATTTGCTACTGCTTTTATATCAACATGAAGCTGTCGGTTATCTTGGTTTCAACTACATTTCAACATAACGAAAGATACAATTAATCTTCAGGCAAATTGAAGATACCAAAATCGTTTCGAATTTCTTCACTTTATTTTCGATTTTAAAGATTTTTATAGCACTCCATAAATGTCAATAATTTAAATCAAAACACTTATATCATGCTGAACAAGATGCACATTTGCGCTTAATGGTGTCCATGGGCCTCAGCCTCCAGCTGCTCCTTGGATTTGTAGCCAACTTGCTCTTCTGGTGTGTGGGGCCAGAAAGTGGGTTTGTTGATGGGATCCAATGCGCTTTCGGGGAATGCATCACGATAATCTTCCATGGTCATCTGATCGTATGGTAGCAATGACTTCAAATGAGCAATTTCCTTCTGGTAATTCTGAATGCGCTGCTCAGATTCCTTCTTGTACTTGGAAATCTCGCTCTTCGATTCCTCGATTTCGCAATCAACCTGCTGGGAAACAGTGTCCTTCGGGTATGGCACGGACAACGCCTCGTATTGCTTCTGGAAGTTATCGACTAGACCAGAGACGGGAATCAATTTCTTGTAGTATGCCCAATCGATTTTTGGCGGATTCTCTGGATTGGCCAGCACGGCACGCACGTAAATGTCCGATTTTGTCTTGAAAGCACCAAAGCTGCTTTTCTGGTTAGCGGGCACACGCTCGGCCAGAGCAGACCAGTTAATCGAGGATTGAGCGATGCGGCGTGCTGCCATTATTATTATGTTCAATTCTGAAAACAGGGAAAAACGATGAGAATGGCATGGCAATGACATTAAAGTACAAAAAACTATATGTTAAGCTTTTAGAAATTTTTTTTTTTTTTTAGCTGTGCACAAAAAATTTGTTCTGCAATAATTATGTAACTTAATTGCAGCACAAAATTTTTCATAATCGCTAGTGCGAGTTTAGCACAGGACATTAGCATTTAGTTCTTCGTATGTATTACGTTCACAAAGAGAATTCCTTAGATCGTATTATACAATTTTATATAGTTTTATTTTACACACGATTTTGCACACCACTTACTTCAACAAGATAATAATTATCGAATCAGACGTCAGAAACAATCGAATATCTCTTGCCGACATCCGATTGCAAAGCAAAGAACTGACACATTTTCTACTCGCAATAACTGGTCACACTCAATGAACACATTTGGGTTATCAGCTGCTTGAAAATATTGCATTTAATAATAATATTATTAAAATGCTTAAGCTTTTACCTCAAGCATTACAACAGACGCGTGCCCTTTCATCGGCCACTGCATCAGTGACGAGACTTCATCGTTCGGTCTACTGTCGTACTTATCCGACAGTTGTTGTGCACCCTGATGGATCTACAATTAACATTCGATACCACGAGCCTCGCAAAATAATCAAAGTAATTATATAAGATGAAACATATTTTGGAGAACGATATTTACATATTTCATACATTCCATTCTGTTCAGCTGCCATTGGATTTAAGTACACTGTCCGAGGCGGAGCGTAAGTCGCGTTTGGAGGCTCGAAAGCCGCGTAAAAAGGTCAAGATCATGGACGAAGTGGAAGATAACTTTAATGCGAGAAAGTATATGAAATATATTAAAAATAAAAAATAGTTTATCATATAAATAAAGGCATTGTAAAGTTATACGTATTTATCATTACAAATAAATTTCGTTTAAATAAAATAGCAAAGTTCATAAAAATGTGTGACTGTGTTTTGTGAAGTATTTATACCAAAAAATACTGAAAGTAACCATTATTAAAATCTGAACGCATTTGACGGGGTATTTACTTTATCCAATGCGGCCACACTCGCCATGTTAATTGTTCAGATTACAGACAGAAACGGAGCTTGACGTGAGTTCGCGTCGCGACTTGTTTGTAAACGATTCGCTAGTGCAAATATAAGCACATCTAATAATGCAAAGAAATATAAAAATAGTAAGAGTTGTCGGCACTTAAAAATAAAGTTATTCAAGCATCATAAAATGCATTGTAGAAAACGTTATAGTGAAATGATGAATTGGTAGTTGTCCAATAAATCTTCATACATACCCGTATGTGTATATTTATGTGTGTGTGTGTGTGTGTTTTAGTTTACAATTGTATATAGTATGCAGTAAACAAGACGAGCGTATTATTTAGTGAAATTTTGCTTCCAACTAAATTTCGGAGTTTTGAAAACGACAACGCGCAAGAGGATTTTTGCGTTAAATTTTGTGCTTGTGTTTTCATATTAATACAATTGCAGCCAAATAGCGCAGACAGACGCATACATGTATGTGTGCATATGTATACACAGCGTACTTATTGGATTATAAAAACGAAAATAACTGGTAAATAATGTTTGCTTAAGATATTTTATCAGTGAAGAAATAAAACAAAAATAAAAACGAATTCTTTGGGTGGGACGTGTGTCGTATAGTCGTAAATATAAACATTCTTGTTTAATATGCATATGCCTGCGCTTAACAATTTTGTGAAGGCGTGTGCATTCTGTGAGTGTGTGTGCGTCAGTGTGCATGTGCATCTGTGTGTGGGTTTACATGGTACATGTTTCGTTCTCTTTTCTGCTGCATTTTCGTCGGAAGCGGTTCTGCCATAGATGATGTGACCTTTGCCTGGGACAGTACATCAATATTTCCCAATACAATTATATGCATATATAATTTGACCACAGACGAAAACTAAATATACATCTCTTTTATATGTTGAAAATATATTTTGTTTGTTTACAAATACATATTCAGAGGATTTGCTCTGGTTTTACCCCGTTATGTTGCTCCACCGCCTCTTCTGTGTACGTGTGTGTGTGTGTGCTTGTGTATGTATATGCTTGGAATGCTGTTTAATGTGGATGGCTGGCTACATGCACTTATTTTTGTAAGCAGCGGAAATGTAAAAATAACACACACACATTCTCACAATCACACCAACACAACACTCGCGCGCAGACGATGCGGACGGGGCTCAGTCTTAGTGTCTGCTATTTTCCCCAATACCAACGCTTTTTTCGTTTGGTGGAAAGCCACTTTTCAACGGAAAATGCCAATGCTGCGACAGATGTTTCACTTATTATTATGTGAATCCATTCATAGTCACACTCATACATATAAGCCAGCATTGTGTTTGTTTTCGTTGTGAGATGTTTCTGTTTTTGTGAATGTATACATACATATATACTGTACATATGTGTGCCTGCATATATGTGCATACATACATATGTCATATGTGCAGTCCCACTATTTGAAGTCAGTGATTCAGTTGGTTCTTATTGGATTTCGGATCGGTGCTAATGGACAAAAACCATTGAAATGTTTTCCAATTCGCATTTTGCTTTGCACTTGCTTTGTTAGCTGCATTCACTCGGCTTTTGCGCTTTCTTTTGTTTTCTCTGCTATGTCTTCTAGCCTAATTTATCTTCCAGTCGCCATTCTACTTGCAGTTTATGGCGAAATTAAACCAATATGTTAATTGGCGATAGATAACGAAATAGATAACATGCCGGAAAATATGGCAAAGGGTAAAAAATGGGGTATTCTGGCATTGTAAAAGCAAAAACAAAAGCAATTTTATACTCCATAAATTAAATTTGTTTTTATGAGTTTAAGTTCCTTTGTGGGCCTTGTTCCATTTTCCTTTATATTTGTTAATTTTTTTTTCACAACTCTTTGCAACGCTTTGTATACGAGTTAATCACATACAATTTACATATTGCTTTTTGTTCTTTTATTTCACTGTACAAGTTGCTGGAATTAAATCTAGCAGGGTATTAGCTGAGACATCATTTATACTTTGCTTAGATAAGAACTAACAAAGAGTGTTTTTCTGGCTAAGAAAATAGTTTCCGACTAGTCAGTTGACAAAAAAGGCTAGATCTGTACTGCGAAATTGCATTTACTGCGCCTAGAGCAGCTCAATTTGGGAATAGAAACCGATGCACACGCCGGCCAGCATGGTACAGGGTATTATTGGCAATGGCAGCCGCATTCCTGCTGATGCCTTTAAGGCATGAATTCGCTAGCTGCGCACATACCTAGGCAGCCTTGAACTTTGCATTCAATTCAATGCTATGCGCCGTCGTGCCGCAGCATTTTAGGTAAATTGAATAAAAGAAAATTGAATCATTTATCATATTTACTTTTCGATTTAGGCACTTTGTGTTAACCCTAGCGAGACAGCCAACAGAGCTCAAATGAGATACCGTTTAGTCAGCGCTAAGTGTAAGGGATCTTTCTGTTAGCTAACAGTGTTTCTTGTACTAAGCCTGACCCTAAACTGTTATATAACATAGCACTAAGTGTAAGGGATCTTTCTGTTAGCTAACAGTGTTTCTTGTACTAAGCCTGACCCTCAACGGTTATATAACATAGTAGTCGAGTCTAATAAGAATTTGGTTAACAGTATAAGTAACAGCCAATAACATCAAATAACATAGTCGTCGAGTCTAATAAGTATTCGACAACTGGAACTATTTCGATTGCTGGCAAAATTTTGTATTCCCAATTTGTAGATTTGCTAGGCTATTTTTTCTGCTACTATCTTATCGGCAATTCGCTGATAAAAAGGTGCAAATCAAATTGCTAGCTTGTATTGCTGTTGTTGTCGTTGTTGTTGTTATTTTGTTTATTTGTTGATAATTTTTTCTATTTCTTTTTATGATTAGAACGGAATAGTAACAACAACGTTGTTATGTCATCATTAATCAGGCAGGCGGTTAGCTAACATTCTTTTCCAACTTCTGGAAAATTTTAGCATTTATTGCCATTGTAAATCTAAAATATGCTACTCAAAGTCAATGGCACAAAAAAAAAAAAATGCTTTACGTAGATTGTTAGCAATGTTTATTTTTATCAGCATTAAAAACGTTAAAATGAACGTGTGTTTAATCGCAATAAAACGAGTGTTCTTATCAAAAGCAAACAGCTCTAAATTTACTCTGCACAAATTGTACACATGAAATTACTAAATAAATAAGTTAATGACACGTGAGAGTGCTTCAGCAGGGAGTGCCGGACTTGTGGATACTCTCAACAGTATGCGAAACTGGTATTTGAACCATCAAAAGCTTTTTTGTATGCAAACACAAATAACTATGTATGTATATGCGAAAAAACATTCAAGCACACGCACACGCACACGCACACACACACACACATAAGCACGTGCCTATTGGGATTTGCTATGGGAAATTAATTGCTGAATAGCTTGTGTTCCAGTTGGACTTTGCTAATCAGAATTTTTGTTGTATGATAACGACATGCAGATGTGTGTATCTGTCAGGTGTCACATGTGCCTATAGCCTATAGACTTGTTTTTGCAAATCTGGGAGGTTGCGGGGGGAGGTAATCATAAACAAAAATGTATAAAATCTGTATTTTTAGAGTGTAAATTAAAATGCCTTCGCTCAAAATATAAAATATAAATAATAAGGGAATGAGTTGAGATTATATGCATACATATGTATGTAGCTCATAAGACTTACTAGATGTTATGCCATAATAATTATAATTTAAGCTCGATATCGAATATTTAAAAAAGATAAGAAAGATAAAAATCAACCACCAATTAGAAGCTATATGGGTGAAATTGGGCCTGACTACTATCAGTTTGTTAAATATGTTAAATAGTTATAATTATTACTTTACTAAATTGTATATTCATTCTTCTTTCTTCCACAGAATTGCAAAGCGCTTCCGATTCCAAAATCTTCCAACAAGATTGTGCCAAACGGGAAATTCACTTGAAAATATCAGAGTTGCTGGAGTTTCTCGTCATTTTTAATTATCCCAAATTTTCGTTTTCCGTTCGATTTTCATATCCTTATTTATATAGATTCCAATAGGTTTTTTTTTTTTTTTTTTTTTTTTTTTCTTGTCTCGAAAGTTTGTTAAATGATTTGGCCAAATAGGTATAAGAAATTGGTGAGCCTCAATAAGAGAAAGTAAATAGGTAAAAAATTTAAGCGCCCAACATAAAACATTGAGGATATTCCGCAATCGCGTTAAGGCTCAGTCGCCGCATCCCTCGAATCGTGGCCAATGTAATTTCAGCAGAGCTACGCAGCTTTTAAGAGCTGCCACTAATCCAAGGCCTACTTCAGCAGATCCTTACCCACCTGCCAACAGCAACAACAACAACAGAAACAACAACAGCAAACGCAACAACAACATCGAGCAGAAGAGCCAACACATCTAACAAAAATACGTCATAGCTGATAATAATGAATCTAAACCAACACAGTGGACCTGGTCCCCCAGAGAGCAGCACCACTACCACCACCACCACCAGCAGCAGCAGCAGCAGCACCAGCTGCAGTAGCAACATTAACAACAACACTAATAATATTCATAACAAGTCTTGTGATCAAGTGGACGCATCGCCGAATCTGTGGCGAGACAGCAGCACATCGGGCATGTGCTCAGTGTCTCATAGAGTTGGCGAGCCGACGGCCGAGCTGTCAGCGGGCGGGCTCAGCAATAGTGTTATTAACAACACCAATTGGAGTACTAAAAGCACCAGCCACGACCATCCACCGCCGACATCTGTTATGCGGACAATATCATCGGACCGCCTGGTCACTGGGTCCTCATGTCGCGCTCTACGTACTGCCGTCTCCGCATTATATTC